AAAAAAAAAAAAAAAAAAAAAAAAAAAAAGATATTGCTCTTAAGGCCCATATACTTTAGTCTTTTCATATTCCCTTGTCTTGAGCCAGCAGCCGTCAGGTAACCCACAGGCCCCTGGTGGCCAGAGGCTGGCTGGTGAGATAAAAGCCTCTGGTGGCCTTTCTTCCCCTCTGGATCATCCATGGAGAGCCAGGCAACATCCAAATTACCCAGACCCAGGTCTTTTGTGATAGCGAAGCAGGCTAAACTAGTCTCACCAATCCACATCCCCAACAGAAGGTGCCTCTTGTGGATAAAGCAATGGGAGGAGGGAATCAAACGGCAATGGCAAAGAGACTGCAGAGGAGACTGTAGCTGTTTCCTGATGCTGCTGTGACAAACCATCTGAAATGTAGCGGCTTGAAACAACAAAATCTATTCTCTTACACTCCTGGAGGTCAGAAGTACAAAATTAGATCCGTGGGCTAACATGAAGGCGGGAGCAGGGCTGCTTCCTTGTGGAGATGGAAGAAAGAACCCATGTCCTTGTCTTTCTCGGTTTTTGCTGGGGTTTTTTTTTTCTTGTTTGTTTGAAGAGATGAGGTCTCACCATGTTACCCAGGTTGCTCTCAAACTCCTGGGCTCAAGTGATCCTCTTGTTTCAGCTTCCGGAGTAGCAGGTACTACAGGTGTACATGACCGTACCTGAATTCCTTCTTCAGTTTCTACTGGCCACTTGCATTCCTTAGTTTGTGGTCTCTTCCTCCATCTTCAAAGAACATCCCTCCAATTTGTCTCCATCATGAGCCACATCCCTCGGCACCCCCTGTGTACCTCTTACAATGATCATTGTGATTCCATTCAGGACCCACCTGGATAATCCAGTGCAATCACCCCATCTCAAGATCCTTAACTCGATCACATCTGCAAACCCCTTTTGGCCACACAAAGTGGCACAGTCACAGGTCCTAGGTGTCAGGGTGTAGATACCTCTGATGGACAACTATTCAGCCTACCACAGAGCCCGTCATAATATGAGAGAAGCCGGCACATTTCCGGTGGATGAGTCAGGTGGAGGCACAGAAGCGTGAGAATACCATTTCCGAGGGAGCTACAGGAAAGTGGAGGCCAGGGCCACTCAGATTGTAGGAAACAGGCAGGAGGGAGGTAAGGGAGACCGAAGGGCTCACTGAATAGTGCTTTCTGCACTGCCCCTCTCTGCTTAACAGGGGACAGCCAAGGACACCTAACATCTAGAGAACCCAGAACTGAATACTGGTTCCCTAAAGACAGAACAGCCTGAGGTGGTAATTCGGGCAGATACTGACATCTAAAATGGAAAAAAGGGCCAGGGATTTAGCTCAGTGGCACTGCACCTGCCTCACAAGTGCAAGGTCCTGAGTTCAATCCCCACTACCCAAATAAATAAATAAAATGGAAAAAAAAGGGGTGGGGATTTAGCTCAGCGGTTCGTTGGCCTGCTTCTCAAGTGCAAGGACCCGAGTTCGATCCCCGGTAACACACACACAAAAAAAGAAAAAAAATGGCAGCCAACCCTGTCCAGACCCTTGTGGAGGAGCCCAGGACAACCGGAAGTGGGGTTCCTGGTCACTCACTTGCTCAGCCCACGGATGGTAAGCTTCACACCTAGACTCAAAACTCCCCTTTATACCATGATGCAGGACACAGGCCCGGTGGGAAAGCAGCCTGCCTTTTAGAACAGGAAGTCACTTCCATCACCTTCAGACACCAGTTGCAATGCTCCTTTGAGAATACCAAGCGACAAGCCAAGATTGCAGATAAGACAGAAAACCTGTCAAGGGAGCAAGGGAGAGAGAGCTCAAAGTCAAGGGTAATTCAGGGCCCAGTCAAGGAGCAACAACTACGTTTGATTGTTAGGAGTCGTTTGGGCTCTCTCACTCTCTCTCTCTCTGTCTCTCTCTCTCCCTCTCAAGGTCCTGGCCAGGTATCTTGGGGATGAGTCTGTTTCCCCATTATTAATTTAGGCTCAGGGCTGAGGATGTAGCTCAGTGGTAGAGGCCCTGGGTTCAAGCTGCAGCACTGGGAAGAAAGGAAGAGAGGGAGAGAGGAAAGATAAGAAAAGAAAAAAAAAACCAAACAAACAATTGAGCTCAGTGGTGAGGATGCCTGCCTGGCAAGTGCAAGGTCCTGAGTTTGATCCCCAGTACCAGAAAAAAAAAAAAAAGAAAAGAAAAAGAAAAAGAAAGAAAGAAATCTGCACAGGCAATTTTGTGTTACATACAGACACGCTCAAGTATGTCGATGTCCCTGTTGGAGACGCTCTCTGATCACTTGGTGTGCAGATTCCTCCCACCCCATCACTTGGGTTCCCTTTTCCTTCTTGGTGATGAGGAATCATCTAGTGGGTGATCATTTTGGATTCTTCCCAGCCACCTTTTACCTATGGTTCCGGCATCCTTTCATGACCCAATTATTGTACTGGAGACTTCCTGAGCTGCTTCTACTTGACCTGCAATAAACATGAAGAAATTGTTTAGTGTCCGTAAACATATATTGTCTACACAGCCTGCATCTGGCTCACAGCAGATACTAAATAATGGCATCAGTCACCGCAGTGGCGGGGTGACAGTCCCTTATCTACAAGCCTAAAGGTTCTTCATAAATTAGGTCCCCAAACTTTTTAGGCAGTGAGACTGCCCGGAGGGAGCAGCTGGCTATTTATAACCTCTTGGCCGCTAAGTGCTACTCCCCTTTACTCACGTAATCTTGGAGAACCAACCCTATCTGCCTGGGGGCAGCGCCTCACCACGAGCTCAAATGCTTTACTCATCTCGCTTAAACTAGCCTGGATGAGTTCCTACTGCAGTAGTCAAAGGAATGCTGAGCTACAGAAGCCATCAAAAAGGACTTGGAGCTGACATTTCTCTGACATTCCTCCCGAGAGCACCCTGACAGTACCTGGGGCTGATGTAGAACCACAGGAGGTGATGGGGAATGAACTACAGACACAAGATTGACATCTGTGCTTAGAGACACACCCACAGGGTCCATCCTAGAGGATGTCACTGTCCCGCTGATCTTGGAGACTTGGGTGTCCCTAAAGTAGAGAAAAACACGTTTTTTTTTTGTTTTTTTGTTTTTTTTTGTACCAGGGATTGAACTCGGGCCCTTGCACTTGTGAAGCAGGTGGCAGAACCACTGAGCTAAATCCCCGGCCCTACAGGCTTTTCATTGCTGCGGAAAAGTATGATCAGGAGAGGGTCTGGTCTGAGAAGAGGCATGGGCTTCCCAGAATCCAGTCCTGGAACACAATGTTCAGAGGAGGAGGGGATCCCTGACTGTAATCCCAGCACTCTGAGGCTGAGGCATGACGATCGCATATTCGATCCGGCCTGGGCAACACAGAGATTTAGAGAGACCCAGTCTCAAAATAAAAAACATGGGAGGGTGCTGGGCTGAGGATGTAGCTCAATGCAAAGACCCTGGGGTTCGCTCTCCAGTGCTGGGGTGAGCGGCGGGTGTGGGGGGGATCCCAATATCCAAATATGACTCAAGTCACAGCCAAGCCATTTAGGAGGCGCCGACGAGTGCAGGATCCAAGAGCTTTTCAGGAATGGCGGAGGCTGATTCAGGGCCAGGCGGGAAAAAGGAAACGGACTTGAGGGCGGGGGGCTTGGTGGAGGTGGAACCCGCCCAGAGGAGGTGCCCCGGGTGTGAGCTGGGGCCGGGTCTCAGATCTCCGAGGGCGGGAAGCCCCGCGGGAGGGGA